TCACGCCGTGCCAGGGTGTTTTCCTGATTCGAAGGGCGTCTTCTGGCTTGCTTTCTGTGCCTTGGAACAGCGGAATTGCCTGCCAGAACCTTGATTTTTTCATTCGGTTCAGGAGTGACGTTTGGCCCGGGCAGAGGGACGGCGGAGCCTGTTCCGTCACAGTGGAATTGCCTGCCAGAACCTTGATTTTTTCATTCGGTTAAGGGACGGCAGGAGGCTGTTCCGTCACGCCGTGCCAGGGTGTTTTCCTGATTCGAAGGGTGTCTTCTGGCTTGCTTTCTGTGCCTTGGAACAGTGGCATTGCTTGCCAGAACCTGATTTTTTCATTCGGTTCGTCGGAGTGATGTTTGGCCCGGGCAGAGGGACGGCAGGAGGCTGTTCCGTCACGCCGTGCCAGGGTGTTTTCCTGATTCGAAGGGCAGAACCTTGATTTTTTCATTCGGCTCAGGAGTGACGTTTGGCCCGGGCAGAGGGACGGCAGGAGGCTGTTCCGTCACGCCGTGCCAGGGTGTTTTCCTGATTCGAAGGGTGTCTTGTGGCTTGGTTTCTGCGCCTGGAACAGTGGAATTGCCTGCCAGAACTTTGATTTTTTTCATTCGGTTCAGGAGTGACGTTTGGCCCTTTTTTCATTCGGTTCAGGAGTGACGTTTGGCCCGGGCAGGGGAACGGCAGGAGGCCGTTCCGTCACGCCGTGCCAGGGTGTTTTCCTGATTCGAAGTGTGTCTTGTGGCTTGGTTTCTGTGCCAGAACCTTGATTTTTTCATTCGGTTCAGGAGTGCATTTGGCCCGGGCAGAGGGAAGGCAGGAGGCTGTTCCGTCACGCCGTGCCAGGGTGCCTTGATTTTTTCATTCGGCTCAGGAGTGACGTTTGGCCCGGGCAGAGGGGCGGCAGGAGGGTGTTTTCCTGATTCGAAGGGTGTCTCCTGGCTTGCTTTCTGTGCCTTGGAACAGTGGAATTGCCTGCCAGAACCTTTTCCTGATTCGAAGGGTGTCTTGCGCCTGGAACAGTGGAATTGCCTGCCAGCACCCTGATTTTTTCATTCACTTCAGGAGTGACGTTTGGCCCGGGCAGAGGGACGGCAGGAGGCTGTTGGTGTTTCCCTGATTCGAAGGGTGTCTTCTGGCTTGCTTTCTGTGCCTTGGAACAGTGGAATTGCTTGCCAGTACCTTGATTTTTTATTTGGTTCAGGAGTGACGTTTGGCCCGGGCAGAGGGACGGCAGGAGGCTGTTCCGTCACGCCGTGCCAGGGTGTTTTCCTGATTTGAAGGGTGTCTTCTGGCTTGCTTTCTGTGCCTTGGAACAGTGGAATTGCCTGCCAGAACCTTGATTTTTTCATTCGGTTCAGGAGTGACGTTTGGCCCGGGCAGAGGGACGGCAGGAGGCCGTTCCGTCACGCCGTGTCAGGGTGTTTTCCTGATTCGAAGGGTGTCTTCTGGCTTGCTTTCCGTGCCTTGGAACAGTGGAATTGCTTGCCGGAACCTTGATTTTTTTTCATTCGGTTCCGGAGTGACGTTTCGCCCGGGCAGAGGGACGGCGGGAGGCTGTTCCGTCACGCCGTGCCAGGGTGTTTTCTGACGTTTGGCCTGGGCAAAGGGACGGCAGGAGGCTGTTCCGTCACGCCGTGCCAGGGTGTTTTCCTGATTCGAAGGGTGTCTTCTGGCTTGCTTTCTGCACCTGGAACAGTGGAATTGCCTGCCAGAACCTTGATTTTTTCATTCGGCTCAGGAGTGACGTTTGGCTCGGGCAGAGGGACGGCAGGAGGCTGTTCCGTCACGCCGTGCCAGGGTGTTTTCCTGATTCGAAGGGTGTCTTGTGGCTTGGTTTCTGCCCCTGGAACAGTGGAATTGCCTGCCAGAGCCTTGATTTTTTCATTCGGTTCAGGAGTGACGTTTGGCCCGGGCAGAGGGACGGCAGGAGGCTGCTCCGTCACGCCGTGCCAGGGTGTTTTCCTGACTCGAAGGGTGTCTTCTGGCTTGCTTTCTGTGCCTTGGAACACCTAGACATGGCTTCGTAGTACCTTTTCTCGTTTTTCGCGAAAAACCAAAAATTTTTGGTTTTGCATTTTTTGGCGGCATCAGAAAGGCTGGCAATTCGGCAGACTGAGCGCCCATGTGGGAGAACGAGCGCCCATGTATACAAAATGGGAACGGGTGGGTGGGAGATTTTGCTTCGAGACCGAACAAACTGCATTAGCCACAGCAGAACGCGTGGAAAACCAAATTTCCGACAACGGAACCGGGTGGGTGGGAGATTCTGGCTTCGAGACCAAGCAAACTGCATTGGCCACAGCAGAACCATGCGTGGAAAACCAAATTTCCGATCAAATTTCCGATCCGCCCGCAAACGAAAGCACGGTAGGTCTTGGCTTCAGACATAGCGATTCTGCACTGGCATGTATAGTTGGCACACACCATCCTGCTTCATGGTTCGTTGATGGTCTATCGATGCTTGCACTGTATGCAGCATGCCGAGATGTGGCAGTTGGTTTTATATCCGTGACATTTTAGTTTGTTGTATCTATATTTAAGCGTGTTCTTTGGCATAACTCTTAGTGCTACACACACAGAGACACACAAACAAACAACAAACACCACAGACACACCCACGCAATCCGCAATCGTGAACCATCAAATGTATATAAATCGGTATGGGGCCCCTCCGTGAAAATCTTTCTATGGGATTGTTGCTGATTTTCTTGGGAATGCACTGCGCCGAAAACTTAAAGTGTATATATTTATATACACCTGATGGTCCATTCGCCTGTTTACTTCTCCAACTCTCGGTCCCAAAGCCTCTTTGTTTGGACTAGCCACTTTTGAGCCGTCCTCAATGAAACAGTTGCTGGGTGCACAGTGCGCACCAGGCGGCTGGATCTGCCCACGTAATCCTCTGCCATTTGGGCGCTAAAGATCGCAGGGTTTAAAACCCTCAAATTGCGACGCCCGTTGGCAAGGAGCTGAACACGCAAATCATGGCAGACGTGCAACACGTAGTGGTACTTCGGTGTCAAGGAAAAGAAACACAGCTCACGTCTGTTGCATTGCAACGCGCAAGCATAGAACTTTTCTGACCAAACCTGGAGCAGCGCTACGCAACCTATGGCCTGTTCCTCGACAAGAAGGTTGTTTCTGTGTAGCAAATTCTCAGGAAGTCGTCGATGGCCTTTCCAGCCAAAAATGCATCGCGTTCAACAGGACCTGCATCCCCATCCAGCTTTGACAAAAAGTGTAGAAGGAACCCCAAAATGAGTTTGCTGTCAGATGCCTTGCAGCTTGACTGCGGAAAGTGTCTCAAAGACTCCCATCCCAAGTTGTCCTTCGTGAAATGTTTGATCATTGGTGTTTCCTGTCTTGCCTTGCAATAGGCCGCAAAAGCACGGTAAGCGGTTGCCAATTTCTTTGCCACGCTGGTCCCATCCTGATATGCAAAGAAAACAGATCAAACCAGTTTGACTAATCCGGTAACGAGTAGATCGCCAACATATTAATATGTCCCAAACAATTAAAAAACGTTCAAACTCAGAAGAGCAGCGAAGCGGCCATTGAAGCATACGTAGCACAGAAGGTTTATGCCAAAGCCCCTCACTGCCCCCAAGTGACAAAGATCATGAGGTTGGATGCCACCCCCACCCCCACCACCCCTACCCTCGAGCATTATCAACATAGTCTTATTTTTAACAAATTAAAAATAGTGTCATAATAAGACATTTGGATGGCTATGTTCCTGGATTCACTCACGCTGCCCACTTATTCCCACTTGAGTGAGTGGTAAAAGTAATCTGTCAGGTGGCGCTATCTGTGTCATTTATTCTTTTCGTTTGCGGTTTCCGTTGTCTTTGGCAAATTTCATGCCAGTGTTCTGCTTCGCAGAAGTAGTGTCAGAAGAACCAGAGCATCGCTTCGCACCTGACCTGGCTCTCCACTCATGCGTCCAAATTCAATGTGTCGATGTGCTCCATCATTTCCTCCATGGAAGGCCTCGGTTGATTAGCAGTATGTTTATGAAAAACAGATAATGAAGACAAGGACAGGAGTTATGACTCTGACTATAAATGGATGTCAGCTCTCGGATCGGGGGTCAGTCAACTGACATTTTTTTCACGAACGTGTGGATTCTGAGGGTGAAGTTCAACCGTTGGACAGTAGTCTTTTCTTCATGACAATTCAAACACCACACATTTAGAAGTAATGTTTCTTTTTTACGATAATTAAATATTACCAAAACCATTCATCAATGCCAAACAATCCACCAGCCAGGAGCAAACTACTTACTTACTTTGGACCTGCAATATCTTTATTATTATGCATTATATGAATCAAACACCGGTTCTTACAACCCATCATTGCACCAACCATGATTGCCAGACCAACCCACCGGTCTACTCTAATCACTCACTACACCAACAGTAACACCACTTTTTGCGGTACACTTCACCTGGACCATCCACGTTTTACACCAAAATACGACCATGTTTGTTTTTTACTGGTCATCACGTTAACCCAATTAAATTGGTAACCGGTTACACCAAACCATTGTAACAGAGTATAGCCAACCTCAGGATTTACAAGAGCTTAAACAGACAGGGTGCAAATCATACTTCTGCTCGTTCAACTTGTTCCAGCGGTCGTAGGCAAATTCCAAGACTGTGCACAGGGCTGTTAGAGCATCTGGGCACTGAGCTGTTGGAAACGATCGCTGACAGCTTTGATTCTCAAGAGCAACGCCTTGGTTAAACCGTTTTCGATTCAAACACACAGATTCTGATTCTGGTGAGGCAGGACACGGTCCAGTCATGTCCAGTCATACTAACTATAACTACGCTACTAAATGAAATACTAGCCTTTGGTTGACACAGTTGTTCATCTTCAAAATTGACCAAGTATCAAAAACATCACTACACACGTATTTTCGATTGTACTGATTGTTCAGTTGATGGTGGGCCCAAGATTCCAAACCAATAACCAGTGATTCAAACACCATAAACACTAACCATTATTCATCATAAACACAAACATCTACTTAACCCAGAAAAGGGTCTGGTTGGATATGTCACGCGCCACCAACGTTGGACTGGATGCCATCGCATCCAGAATGTGCCCGGCGCCACCGCTCCTCCAGCTGGCAAGAGCTTTCGCAGATCAGGCGGGGTGAGATTCCACTGTCGCACGTGTTCTTTCTTTTCAGCAGATTTCTTGTCTGCCATGATTTTCTCTGCTCTTGCTTTTGCCGCTTCGGCGTTTTTCTTTTCAGTCTCAGGGTCAAGATCACCAGCTTTGCCTGACACACCCGCAGCATGCCCTCGAGCAAAGATTTTCTCTTCGAACTGCCGTTGTGCGTCTTTTTTCAATCGGCTAAATGACTCTTGGTTGTCGGTGTCAAGCTCTGCAATGTAAGCCAGCACATTCAAATCCATTGGTTCATCGCGTGTTCCACCCATCATTGTCTGTCTCACACCCTTGCGAAACTCCTCGGTTTCACTCGGCCACAAAAAGCTGACCAGGGCTTTCACATAGTCAACTTTCTTTTTTCTCCCACCCTTGCCACTTCCCTCAGCTGGCATAGGGCATTTCACAGCCTTGCAGACTTGGAGCAACCTTGGAATTGTCAGACTAATTCCAGCTTGAATCGACCCACGAAGTAATGAATCCAGCTTCGTGACCTCAAAAGCAGACCCAAATCCAAATAGAGCTATGTCTTGAGGCAAGCAAGCAGGAGGCAAGACACGCTGATGGACGTAGCGCCAAGAGCAGCTGGATTCGTCAATGGTGAAATTGTGCAGGGTACTAACTGACTTCTCGTTCTTCTTGAAAGTGAGGAATTCCTGACAGGAGTGTTTTTGTTCGACATTCATCAAATGAAATCAGTTGATGATGGATTCCACTTGAAAAGTATATTAAAATCAAACAAATATAATGTTACTGTCCAAGACTTCCTTCCAGTCAACGTTCATATGTATTATTGCGCCAATAAGATCATATCTTTAAACACATACTATTATGTGTCAAAATTGAAGTCAGCCAGGATAATTGAACGGTCCTTCTCGCCAATGATGTGTGATTCCAGTTCAATGCCAAGCGCAGCATATTGCTGGAAGCCCAAGCTCAAAAAGTATTCTCCTTGTTTGTTTTTGTAGATCTCGCCCTTGACCAAGAAAACGCCTGGACCACTGGATCGCGTTGCCAATATTATGATAAGGAGCTGACTCCATTAAATGAATTGATTCAAACTGATGATCTGATGGGTATTAAACAAATACATAAATAAAGAATAACATACGTTACAACCGCTGTAATTTGACAACACCTGTAATTAAAAAATGACAACTCGAAGGGTGTCATCTAGACTAATTATGAAATTAATAACAAGATGTAATTCAAACAGCATCGCCGGTAAACAGAGAACAGAAAGACCCAGTTGCAGGCCTGCCCAGCTGAAGCTACAGTTTGCAAATGATGTTGGCGCGTCAAAGATCAAGTACGCAGCTGCTGCAGAGCTATTGTAATGAGACGCTGGCCCCGCCAGCCTCCATTCAGTTTTCTGAACACCAGCCACAGTGCACGGGATCTGGATCCCAGGCGCCTCAGGGAAGGCCGTTGTGTTAGGCAGAAATGCCCTGTTGAAGTTCTTCATCATATCAGAGTTACTTTGGCCAAATTCAGACGCACAATTAAGCCACTCTTCAGTGGTGGGCAAGCGCTGGTCCATGCCGGATGCAGCGACATAAGGGCTGCTTGTGGCGTAGTACCAAATGCAATGAGGATTGAGTCTTTTGTTTTTGTTGCTGGCAGAAACGCAGTAGGAGAGATGGCCAAACGTTGATTCCAGCACTTCCTTGGTGGAGGATGACCCGCCGCAATAACGAGTCATGACCTTGACGCAATCTTGAATGGACGTTTCATCGCAGTTGAATCGTCCCTTTGTCAGTAGAATCATGAGTTCCCGAGCTAGGGGCTCCTCTTGGAAGGCCAAGGTTGACAGGACTGGTTCAAGATCTGGCCTTTTCCCTCCTGACACCAAATCTTCAGCCAAGGTGATTGCCTTCACAAGCCGTTTCAAATGCTTGAGACCTTTCAACCTGTCACATTGACTCTGCGACAGCAGTGAAGCGGCTGCCATGGGAAGTGTCAATTGGTTGTATTGCTCGCTCCACGCGTAGTTGCCTGCGAGGTGGATGGAGAAGCAGAACGCTTTCTCAGCCAAGACAATGTCATCTTCCAGCTGCACAGGGTCATAATCCACAGGAGGGTTGCAATGCCCAGAAACTCTCATAACACGAAATAGGTGTGAAGTTGATGAGGCCATCAAGATTTTATTCACAGCAGACATAGTTCCCCCTAGTGACCTTGAGGCATTCCACGCCAGAATCTCATCTAAATCACCTTGTTGCGCTTTCAAATCATTCCTGTACTGCTCATGAAGTGGCCTGGCCACCTGACACAGAATCTCTGCAGAAGCCCGAAGCTTGTCGTCGTGCATGATGTCATAGTACATTGCATGAGGCCCCTTGCCTTTGTAAGCAGCATAAAGCTCTGACTTGCTCAGAGGTCTAGCACTACATCCAGCAGGCCCCATTTCATGGTCATCGGGATCATCGTTTTCTTCATCGTCGTCGTTTTCAGCATCGTCAGCTCCAGCCGCAGCATCATTGTCATCTTCCTCATCAGCCTCATGCACAGTCGCAGAGCAACACGCAATTACCAAAGTTGAGAATTAAAAAACATGCCTGGAAAGGTAAGGACCACCATCCTGTCAGTTATAATATAAGTTTGTTTTCACACCCACTCACTCAGTCAATCGTGGGTTGTTTTCAGATATGATGCATGATGTCATGGCTCGTCCGCAAATTGCTACTTTAATATATTTAAGTAACTTGTGAGTAGTGTCACAATAATGATTAATAGTCGTAGTATGTGTTTTTGCTTTTTTTCCCTGAACTTGACTTGCCACCCAGTCATAATAATATAATGTTCTTTCAATCTCTATGCTTTTATTATCTTTATTATTCTGACCGATTCGGCTGGGACCTGCTGGCTGGGTAGTGATGATAGATAGCCAACCTTAATACTGAAACATTTGCTGCTTGTCGGAGGTGCCTGCATCATCTTCTACTACTAGTACATGACATGCTTTACAGTGGGGAGCCGCTGCTGGGATGCATCAGAATCTAATCAGACAGAATTCAGTCAGCGCTGTGTGATTCCCTGACTGATTGTAATTGTGTTTTTTTTAAATGAGTGGTCTAGGGCAGAATCAGACGCTTGGTCTCAAATCCTCCCAGCTGTACTCACTGAACTATTTTGTCAGACTGAGACATTCAGTCACATACTACTTAATAATACATTTGTCTCCCATTCAATCCACGCCCAACCAATTGAGGCTGAGATGCTATACCTGCAGCAATGATTGCCTCCGACGCCACACGCAGCACGGCCCAATCTTGTACCATAAGCCGCAAGACGTTGAGAACGCCAAACCAAGATTTGTTCTTCACCTTGCAGTTGACAATTCTGATTTTACTTGATAGATTCATTTGCTAAAAATAAAACCAGAACACGCAATCATTGACTCAGACTGATAGTGTTTCTGAATGTAACATTTCATCACGAAGGTAAAGTAGTTAGTGTGTGTCACGAATGACGTTGTCGCAAAATGAGATGTAATGATATGTGCAATTATTGTAATGGCAATGCCATCATAATGTACATGTACTGGACGTGGATGTAGTGTGGGTTTAGAAACACAGAAAAATTGAAATAAACTCAGCTCAGGAAACATAGTCGCCCTTCCTACGAATGGAATCTGATTCCAGATACTCTTCGACCAGGACCCGTGAGTCAACGTTGAGTTGTGCAGAATCAACATTGCCAAGGTCACGATCAAGTATGACTTCTTCATTCAACTCCTCGAAAAACGAATCCGGCTGGCTCTCTAGGAACTTCTGCAAAGCAAGTTTACGACGGGTTGCCCTTTCCCCTGTCACACGAGCACCGTGGGAATAGTTCGCTGCAATGGTAAGGCGTAAGAGGTCATATTGAATCTTTGCAGCACGTGTTGCGCGCCGAAAACCATTCCACTTTGGATGACAAATCTCTGGGGAAATTCCTCCTCGGAGGCCTGCGTAACTGAATAGAAAGTGTAATGCCTTGGTTTGCACACCCTCTTCATCGCATACGAACCTGAGAAAATGCCAATCATCCACAGGGGTCAACTCCGCTTTCAACATGTTTGATCCACGAAATGCATCACGAGATGGCCGAGTCCACTTGGGGATGAAGTCTTGCAGACCCTGTCCCGCCAGGAGATGAAGTATATGCTGGAGAAACTTCAGAACGACCTCAGACAGATCCGGCTGCAGAAGCTCGTTAATTAATGAGTGTTTGACGCTGTGACCCGTTTAAAGGCCAAGGTCCAATTGATTGTCAAGGTCCAAGTAGTGACTGAACAGTCTTTTTATAAGATTTGAATAGTCAGACTCACTGCCATTTCATGACAAACATTAGTCTTTTAGCGTCAACCTAGGTTGACTTTTTAATTCAATAGTCTTAGTAGACGAGTCTGTAACTGTAACGGTTTCATGATCAGGCTGTCTGACTAATTTTAATCACTTCAACAAATAGTAATTAAATGCACTTAGTTGACACACTTTGTTTAGCAATGCTGCTAAAGCATAGCAACAGCCAAGGCACCAGAAAGCATGTAGACTCTTTCTTAGGAATCTTGGGCCTGACAGGGTTAGTTGAGCAATTACTACTATTTAAATAGTTTAGACGTTTCACACAGACTGGACTTTCAGATTCCAGAGGTTGAGGGGCCTTAGCAAGATATAATCATAGTAAGAGAATCAAGGGAGTGAATTTCGATTCAGTGGCTACTTGCATACTTATTATAACTATAAAGTCCTTTTGAGACTGTGACAGATTCAATGTCAAATGATCTTTGTTTTTTGAACTCGGCTGACTCGGGAAGGATCTCACCTGAAGATGTCATGTCCTTCCAACTTCTCTGCGACGCCCTTGGACATAGCCTAGGCGGCCAGAAAAGTAACAAAAAACATTACTGATACTCAGGCAGTCCAACAGTCGACGGACGCGTGACTTCAAGAATCAATGTTTTTGTTTTGTTTGTAATATATAAATATAGTTGACAAACAAGTGTAGGAACCCCATGACCCCTGAGACTCAGCAACGTGAGAATCTTCTTGTGTTTTTTCTCTCGCACACACACTGATCGTTTTGGCTTCGCCCACTGAATGAAAGCGAGCGCAACCAATCTAATCTAAGGAAGTTGTTCGATCAAAGGTAATCTAATCTGGCTCATCTCTGTTCTGATGAGCTGCTGAAGCAGGACTACGGTGATCAACAGAAACTTGTTTCTGAAGTTGGAACGGCCCACATGTTCCGCACAGACAGGGTGAAACAAGCTAACTGATGGTCAGCGCAAGACCACTCACAAGACAAAATCAAATGTTTTAAATTGAAGTCACCCTGACTTGCGGCCCCTGATGCCCTTCTTTTTAGAAAGGTGAAACCCGGGGTGTGCAAATCCAACAGGGTGGTTTTTCTTCGTAAAGTAGTTGGTGATGCGATGCTGGATCTTCGACTTTGCCGTCTTTTTGTTGAAGTAGCTATAGAGGAGCGTTTGAACACACATTGGACTCTCAACCTTCACAGTGGTCCACGGGCTGGGCTCAATGGGGGTGTTCCCAAATCCAAAGCCACCAGTGACATTGAAGTAAGCCATGATCGTATTCCCCTGGTGGTCGTGGTGGTAGGGATTGCTTCTGACGCTGACTTCGTGCGACGACGGAGGGCTGATTGATGGCTGGCCTGTCCCTTCAGTGAGGGGTGCAGCAGTGGTCCCAGAAAATTGTTCCTCAACACGTGCCATTTCCACCCCAGACTCTCGATTTTCGGAGGGAGGACCAGCGGGATTCTGCTGCAGGGATGTTTGCATGTCAATGTCTTCTTTCTCTTTGTCTTGCCAAAAAGTGCCAATTGTATCCCAGGATTTGATCACGAACTCGTCTGGGATGAAAGCCTTCGTGGCGCGTCCATCTGCTGCTTGGCGGTGAGCCGGAGACGGAGATGGTGAGGGATCTGGCTGAGCAAGCGGTGGTGTCATAGCTTGGCAGGGAGCCGGAGACGGAGATGGTGAGGGGTCTGGCTGAGCAGGCGGTGGTGTCATAACTGCGTCCCTTCCATCACTCGCCCATCGGGTCCTTGGTAAGCCACTCATTTCATCGTCAGAGTCTGACGTGGGACATGACCTGAATGACTGAGGGCTGCCAGACGAAGGCATGACAGGCAGTGCAGGAATCGAACAGCCTAAAGTTCACCAACGGTTTAGCCCAAATGGCAACTTGTGTCATTACAAATGAAACGTGTGACAGCACCAGTTTCACAGAGTCTGACAAATGTTGACTGTCAAATTATTGGTTCAACATGACATGGCGACAAATTGCAATCTCGCCACCTATTCTGTCAGCTTAACTGATCTTAAGTTAAGACGATGACAGTTGCAGTGGACGAATTACATCAATCTGGGACAAGCGGTCATCGTAACGCCTTTTATATTTTGCACAGCTGGATGTCTCTAAGGCTGTGCACCTGACTGGATTGGATTGGATCAACGAGCTGGCGGGCGCGCGCGTCTCGTCACCATGGGAAAACGTCAATAGTAGTGGGCAAACCCATAGTTATTAATATGATAGTTATGTGATGTGACATGACCTGTGACATTCCTTCCACCTGCCAGATTGATATTATTGTTATTATATGTAGACCATTTCTATTGCACAACCGTTCCGTCCTAACAACTAATAAACAAAAAACTGTAGCAGAAATCATGCCACGCCACGCCACGCACGTCGAACCACTCACTGAACCGGAAAGCTGAGTGGTGCCATCCATCATGCCATAAGGTAGTAGCATGAGACTTGGAATCATAGTGGGACCCAGTCATTATGAAAATGATATTTATTAAGAAGAAACAGCTTAGACTAGAATCACCAGTATCAGGAACCTCAGCTTTTGAATTTAGTTGTTTCTGCTTCGAAACATTGGGGGATTGAGTCAGGTTATTCGAATTCGCCGTCAAGAGCAAGCTTGGCAACTTGGCAATGTGACAGTGGGAACTGATGCCACACACTAAGGGATTCGGCGTGGCTGCGTCTGTTCTGGTGACCATTTGAATTGTCTTGATAACTTTCTCTCTGAGCAAACTGAAATTGGGTCACAGCAGCCATGCAAAAGGAGTGGCAACGTCACAGGCCTAGATGCGATGCAGTGATGATCCCTCCAATTCGATCTAAATTAAACTAAGTTATATATAATTGATAAAACGGTAAACTTTAATTAACTGATTAAGTAAATCTGGTGTTTAAGAACAGCCTTGCACGATGTATTTTGCATACTCTTGGACAGATTAATCAGATACTATGATTGAAAATGCAAACAAACACTATCAAGTCGTGTTTTATTTAATTAATTAATAACTAAATAATTACAGAATCACTTTCCTTGTTTATTTGTGGAATCATCATTCAAACTATACATGAAACAATTGGCTACCAGCATCATAACTACGCAATGATTCGTCCATTTATATTATAAGCCACAAACACACTAACCAAGACTTTCAAGATTTCTCAACCACTCGGTTCATGATCAGAATAGATGAATTCAGTAACTACATAGACAAAATAATCATAATTGTACTACAGTTGCAGTACCTTAACATGAATGATATGTTTACCGTGTCGCGCTGACCAGTCAAGTGTATACTCAAAATATATACAATAATAAACAAACTATTATATTAAAAATAAGGGGCCAACCTTGGGCCACTTACACCCTGTGACTGCTACATTTCTGATTTGGATATTCTTTTTAAGATCGTGGTAACACAACTCAACGATACAACCATGAAATGGACAAGTGTTCTGTTTCAGTTGCCGAGTCAAGACACTGCATGCTACAAATATTAGTATTATTAGTTTAAAAGTGCAACTATAAATATTATAGTACATTGAAACAAGCTAACTCAGTACATTAACAATTGTATATTAAGCCTATGTGCTAATTTTAAAACGGCACCTTCGTCATATGTTGCCAAAGTGGAACAATATTATCAATATATATGTTAGTAATATAGGTGAAACGTGTGTTGCACAGAAAGATATTGTTTTGTGTATGTATTGTATTTTTAAAAATAACTAGTTAGTAAAAATAAGATCACACAACATATGAAGCCAACATATACAGATCCTATCACAACACATACAATAGTTATAGTAATTGCACAATGTTTACTTAAAATCATAGAGTCAGACTAAAATAAGCAGTTTTGTATGTGTTTCAAAATAAGGTCAAAATAAGGTCAAAATAAGGCCAAAATAAGGTCAAAATAAGGCCAAAATAAGCAGAATACGCTTGTGAATAAAATAAGGTCAAAATGATGCTAAAATAAGGTCAAAATAAGACTATTTTGATAGTATTTTTGCTTGTTGTCAAGAAACTCTTTCAATTCTTGTCAAGTGACAAAACATAGCAAATACACAATTACTTCATATTGTATTGCTTCACCCAATTCCAACTGTTACCAAGACAAGTTGGTTCATTTTTCTGGAAAATGCTAAATGTAACTAGTCTGAGCTTCTGAGGTTTGTTGTCACCAAGCATTATTTGTGGCTCTACTCCCACGTTAACCGTTAATCAGTTAAACGTACAATAAATAACGTAACAACATATTACTTAATTTAATTAGTCACAAAAATTAATAATTAAGTAATTAACAAAATAACATCACATAATAAAATAATGTGTTAATTAAAAAACCTGAGAGGCATCATCACTGGCTTGACTGGCTCAGGCTGGTTGTCAGAACTCACTCATTTCGATGAACGGCGTGCTGTTTGCTTCTTTGCTGATGCCGTCCCCGGTTTCGACGGTGTCCTTGTCGACTTGTTCTTCTCTTCGGCCTTCGGTTCATTCCCGGTATTCTCTTCAATGAGAATGGGATGATGACCAGGATTGGATGCACTGTCCTGGATCACTGTCTCCTCCTTCTTGTCGTCCTGGTTCTGACGGGTCGCCTGCTGTTGGTGACCTGTCTCAGTAGTGACCCCACCAGAACTCTCACCACCGTCGACCACTTCAGGAACTTTTTTAGTCGGTTCTTCTTCATCACCACGAACTTCAGCAGCACGACCTTCAGCAGCAGGGT